GCGCTCAGGCGCGGGTGCAGGCGGCGCAGCACGGCGCGGCGGAACAGGATGTAGACCCAGGGGTCCAGGATCTGGTTCCACGTGGCCACGCGCAGGTAGATGAGCAGCTGGCGCTCGGTGGCCTGTGACAGCTGGCCCGCGGGGCTCATGGCCGGCGGCGTCCGCAGCACCGTGTGTCCGATGAAGACCTGCGGGGGGAGCCGCAATGGGTCAGGGTGGCGCCAGGCCCCGCCCCGCCCCGCAGGCCCCGCCCATCAACCACACCCACCGCAAGGCCACGCCCCCGCGCCGAGCGTGCCCCGCCCACATCCCGCCCACCACACTCTGGCCTTTCGAGCATGCTCCGCCCCCCGGCCATGTCCCACCCAGAACAGACCACGCCCACACCCCCTCGCTCCGCCCCAGCCACGCCCTCCGGGTCTTGACCACGCCCCCGGGCCCCAGCCTCAGGGATAAGGGTCTCAGGGCCTTTCCTGCCCTGGCTGGCTTTGAACCTCGATCCTCAGATCTCAGCCTCCTGAGTAGCTAGGACGACAGGCTTGAGCCCGGCTTCACTTGCTTTTTGAGTTTTTCTGTGCTGGTGGATGAACTACTCAGGAGCCACACCCCCAAGCCCAACGTTCGCACGCATTAAATACTTTATACTCCGTATTTGAACCCACTTCACTAAGTGTAAAATTGATACTTGCCCTTCAATAGAAGTGATTTAATAATTCAGAATACAACATGATTTTAAAAATAATTACAGACTAATGTACTTACTCGTTACGACTTCACAGAAACAGAGGACCAGATATCAGCGTGTAATTATACTACATAATAATGAAACGATTAGCTATGACACAATAAGGATAATTGGCAGGTGTGCTGAGGTTCTAGTATAATTTAAATTGGTCAAAGCCCAAGTCCTCCCCGCAGCCCACAGGGCCTGCACGGCTCGCCAGGCTCAGTCCTGCCCCGCTGCGTGCTCGGCCCGGGAGGTTCCTTTTTGTCAATCACAGAGCTTGAACTCTGGGCCTGGATGCTGTCCCTCAGCTCCTCAGCTCAAGGCGAGCACTCTACCACTTCAGCTACAGCATCACTTCCAGTTTTCTAGTGGTTTGTTGGAGATAAGAGTCTCACGGACTTTCCTGCCCGGGCTGGCTTTGAACTGTGATCCTCAGATCTCAGCCTCCTAAGTAGCTAGGATGACAGGTGTGAGCTACCTGAGCCTGGCTTAGGAGACTCTTTTGTGTTCTCTACATAAAAGAGGATCCCTCTCGACGTCCCTCAGTCCTCTTCTCCCTGCCCTCCCTGCAGTCCCCAGGCTCTTGAAATGCTCAGCCTGAGCTCTGCCCTGCTCCAAAACATGGAATCTGGGGTTCTGAAGGATCAACAGGAGTTCACCTGCTGGATAAGAAGTAGGTAGACACCCTAGTTAGAGTCACTGATTCAGTTCAGTGTTTTTCATTTTTGTGGTTGCTGGAGGTAAGCCCAGCAACCGTGGTAAATGGCCTCAGCCTCCTCCGCCCTCAGGTGGTCTCGGGAAACAGTCCCAATCACTAGGAGCGAGGTCACGCATCCACAACCACACAGTGCTGCTCCAGCCGCAGGGCTCAGCCCTGAGTCACCCTTCCCTGTCCTGCCTCTGCCACCTCTATGCTGTGCCCAGCAGCGGGCAGCCCCGAGGCTCTGTGAGCCCAGAGCTCTCCTGGAGCTCAGATTCCCCCCTGAAGCCCAGCATTTGGGGCTCACGCCTGTCATCCCATCAGCCAACCTCCTGCACAGAGATTCTGTGGTCCACCCAGCAGCTCTGGGCCCCAAGAGGCCTCAGGAAAACATCATCCACCATAAAATATATTCCTCCCATTTTGCTCAGCAGGCAAACTCCTATTCATTCTTCAGAACCCCAGCTTCAATGCCCTCTACTCCACCTCCTCCCCTTTTCCCTGGATGCCCACCCTGGACTTCTGGAACCCGCAGCCCACCTGCACTCACCAGCAAGGGCAGCCAGCACACGGAAGCCACCACCATGATACCCAAGAGCTGCACCATCATCTCCACCTCGCAGTCCCGGGGCCGCTGCTGGGCGGCCTCCCCGCCGTGGTAGACGCGACACAAGGTGGCCACGCTGACCGTGTTGAGCAGGAAGGACAGGGCCACCGAGAGGCCCCCGAGGCAGGCGAAGAGCAGGCCGAAGGCAGCGTCGCCCGGCCGGGCGGCCAGCGTGAGGAAGCACCAGGAGCCCGGGTACTGCACGGTGTAGCGGCCCAGGCCCAGCAAGGGGAGCAGCCCCAGGCCCAGGGCCAGCGCCCACACCAGGCCCACCGTGGCCCAGGCCCGGCGTGGCGAGGCCACCGCGGGCCTGGAGAAAGGCCGCGTGATGCCCAGGAAGCGCTCGGAGGCCATGGCCGCCCCCAGCAGCAGCGGGCACAGGCCGAAGAACACCATGGCGACGCCCATGAAGTGGCACAGGCGGCAGCCGGGGTCCCCGGCCCGCCAGTCCAGCAGGGCCGCGTGCTGAGACACCACGATGGCGCCCGTCACCAGCAGCCCCAGGAAGTCGGTGAGCACCAGGCCGCACAGGAAGGTGAGGAAGGGGGAGCGGGGGCACAGGCCGCCCTGGGGGGAGCTGGCCAGCACGCTCAGGGCCACCAGGTTCGAGGACAGCCCCACCACGCAGAAGGACGCCGGGAACCAGGGGGAGGCGATCAGACGCCTCTCCTCCAGCGTGAAGTTGAAGTTGATGGGGCGGAAACACGGGCCCAAACTGGCATTGGACCACATGGCTGCCTCCAGCCCGGCCGCCGCTGCGGCCGCCACACCAGGTGACAAGACAGGTCACCACCCCATGGGGGCTGCCAGGTCCGGCTGGGAACACCTGGAAGGCAGCAGAGAGAAGACCGGCTTGTCGTGTGTGCAACTGGCGGGAGGGGGCGAACTCCTACGCAGCCTTTAATGCCCCAGCTCCAGTGCCCCTTCTTGAGGAAGGATTTGTCTTCATCCCTCAACTGTTACTACGATTGCTAGTTGTATACTGTTGGAACTGTTAGTCCCTCCACCTCGCACTAAAGGGACAAAACACCAGGGCTGCCATGCCTGGGACCCCCTAGAAAGACACCAAGAAATATTTTTGTGGGTCTTACAGAAAAATCCAAAGACCCTAGCTTTGAACTCCAGCCCGGAGTCTGTGTGACTCCAGGCAAGTGGTTTCTCTTCTCTGAGCCTCAGTTTACCCCTTACTCACCCTCCACCTCCACAGCTGACTGCCTGATCTAAATTATAGTCATTGTCAATAACAATTGCAGTCTCTCACCCTGTCCAGGACAGGGGAGGGGGCTGCCAGCCGCAGGTCCCCGCGTCCGGCTTGTGTGCCCCCATTTCAGATGACACTCTTGCGGTCACTGTTGTTTTCCTTGTTTTGGGGGGGAGTCTGGGGGACTTAGGGGGGTATTTCCATCCTGCCTCCCATATGCCAGAACACTTCCATACTAATAAGCAAGGATCCCTGAAGTCCCAATTCCATTTTGGGAACAAAAACGCAGCTCATTTGCAGCCACAGCTTCCCCAGGGACAGGTTAGAGCGAGCGCTCGGACTGGGTGGGGCTGTGGGAAAACGCTGGGCAGACCGAGGGGGGGGGGTGATCGCAAAGCAGAGCCAGATGTGCCCTGATCAGATCAGCATGGCTGCAGCCCGGCGCTGGTGGTCCTGCCTGTCATCCCACCACTCAGGAGCCCGAGATCTGGACTGCGCTTCAAAGCCAGCCCAGGGCAGGAAAGTCCAGGAGACTTTTTTTTTTGAACTCTGGGCCTGGGCGTTGTCCCTCAGCTCTTCAGCTCAAGGTGAGCACTCTACCACTTGAGCCACAGCGCCACTTCCGGTTTTCTGGTAGTTCATTGGAGATAAGAGTCTCACAGACTTTTCTGTCCAGGCTGGCTTTGAACCGCGATCCTCAGATCTCAGCCTCCTGAGTAGCTAGGATTACAGGCATGAGCCACCAGCACTGGTAAGACTCTTACTTCCAATAAACCACCAGAAATCTGGAAGTGGTGCTGTGGCTCAAGTGGTAGAGCACTAGCCTGGAGTGAAAGAGCTCAGGGACAGCGCCCAGGCCCAGAGTTCCAGTCTTAGCCCTGGGTTCGATTCCTCAGTACCACATACACTGACAAAGCTGGAAGTGGCGCTGTAGCTCAAGTAGTAGAGTGCTAGGCTTGAGCAAAAGAAACTCAGGGACAGCGCCCCGGCCCTGAGTTCAAGCCCCAAGACCGTCACAAAAAAAAAGAAAAGAAAAAAGATTACAGGCATGAACCACCATGCAAGGCTATTAGTTGAGATGGGGTGGAGGGGAGGGTCTCACTAATTTTTTGCTTAGGCTGACCTAGAACAGTGATCCTCCTGGCCTCAGCATCCCAGCAGCGGGGATTATAGGTGTGTGCCACCACCTCCAGCCAACTTACTTCCTTTTGTAAAAAAAAAAAAATTAATTGGCTCTCTTGTTGTTACAGAGGTGATGTATAGAGGGATTACAACAACCTGAGTCAGGTAATGAGCACATTTCCTCTCGTACCTGCGTTTTCCGTTTCCTCCTGCTCTCCCAGCGCCTCCCTCCCGTCTCCACCCACCAGTTGTCTTCTTCATTTTCATCCGTGTCCAGTGAGTTCCACCGCTGCACCTTTCCCCCTTTTCCCGAGTCCTGCCCTCCCTCAAACCCTTCCGAAGACAGACACTGAATACACGAGGAAAAGTACACACACGCGTCTGTCTCTAGGGGTGTGTGTGTCCGTTTCCATATTTGGAGTGGGTTTTCAGTACGCACATCATTCTAGATAAAGTAGAAGCGGTGTGTAGCTATGGTGCCTTTTAGTTTCTCTCCTAAGACTAGCCTCTTGCTCTTGCTGTGTGGGTGTCTCTAGAATCCTGTATCATTGATCCGACCCTAGTGCGTTTTAGATCGAACTTGTGCCAATCAGAGGGAACAGGTGCCGTTTGCCTCTCTGAGTGAGGCTCACCTCACTCACTCAGCCTGATTTTTTCTGGGTCCGTCCATTTCCTCGCAAATGGCATTACGTGATGGTTTCTAATGGCGGTGTAGCACTGGTGCGTATATTGGCGTGTGCGTCCTAGGTCTTGTGGGGCCTCGGGGCTGCGTCCCCCTCCTGGCAGTTGTGAGTCCTGGTGGTCAGACCGGATTCTGAGTGGCCCCCTCTTGCTGGCCTTGGACTTGTCCTGGCTCACAGCCTCAGTTTCCCTTCTTGTACAGAGCGTCTAGCCCACAGGCCCTGAGCCAGGGCGGCCTTTTGGAGCAGATGGGAAGTGGGGGGAGTGGCTGCGGGCCTAGCTTTCCATCTGGGTAATTGGTGCCTTGGCTGGGCTCCTCACTATTGAGCCTTATAAATTATCCAGCCCCAGACAGAGGCCCTGAGCCTCCCCTCCTCTCCGCCCCCCCCAGAACAGCCTGGAGCCAAGGCGTCTGTCTCTGTGGGGCGCGATGGGGAGAAGGATGGACAGCCAGACAGCAAGAAGGCCAGGTGGAGCCAGTGCTAGGCCACACTGGCAAAGCCATAGATCTTGATCGGCGGAGGCCTTACTGGAGTCCAGCCTTGGCTCCCCCTGGGGACGGGGTTCTCCCTCCCTCCTCCTGCCCTCCCCTCCCCCCGCCAGCTGGTATGCACGGTTTCAGAAATTCCCCCGAAAAAGTGGGCCTGGGCCTGTGCCTACAGCCACAGCCCATACCATATGGGTCTCACAGGTCTGGCCTGGGGACACACACCCAGGATTCTTGCACACACACACACACACACACACACACACAAACACACACAAACACACACACACCCTCACCCTGTGTCTCGGGACAAAGCCATGACCCAGAGCTCCTCTTGGCCAGGGGGAGGCTGGAAACTGGCTCTCCTCTTTGGCCACGGCTGGCGGTTTCCAGTCTCCCCCTCCCTTGCCCCCCTCTGCCCAGCTTGGGTTCAGGTGATAGGAGCCGTTTCAAGTTCCCTAGGCTAGCAGGCCAGCGCCGGGGCGTGGGGTGGGCAGGGCCTCTGCCACAAGCTGTGTGGCCAGTGGAAGAATTGCTGTTCCTCTCTGTGCCCCCACCCCCCACAGGAGGTGTGTGTGGCCTGTGGCTTTCTGGGTTCAGGCTGGAAAAACTCAGAGTCCCCGGGGCGTCACTGAGCTGAGGTTTGGACGGGAGGGCCCTGCTTAGGGGACTCTTTTGGTTTCGGGGCTAGGCCTGGAGCTTGAACTCAGGGGGCCTGGGTGCTGTGCTGAGCTTTTTTTCTTTTCTTCTCAAGGCTGGTGCTCTACCACTTGAGCCACAGCTCCACTACCGGCTTTTTGCTGGGAAGCGTCTCACAGAGGTGTCTGCCCAGGCTGTTTGAACGGCCACCCCTGGCCCTGTGCTCCCAGGGAGCCTGGAAATCCGGGAATTCCAGGGGTAAGCCTCTGCTGGTTCTGAGGTCACCCACCCCCCACATCTGTCTCAGCCCCTGGCTTCCTCCTGGGGCCCAGGCCTGGGGCTGTCTCAGGAGGCTGCCCAGAGGTGGGGCGCACTGTGAGGGGAGTGGGGGGCTTTGGGCCAGTCTCATGTCCACCTGCCCCCTCCCTGGCCCTCCCTCCTGCCCTGCCTCCCCTCTGTCTGCGGTCTGGCAGCCCGGCCCCCCCTTGCCCGCACCCCAGGGGCCACGCTGGCCCCCCAGCGCCCGGGCCGTGTCCCCGGCCTGGGGTCCCCCCCCACGTGGCGGAGGCTGTCAGCGGAGGCCACCAGGTCGCGGCCCCGCAGACGCGCTCCCTTCGGGGGTGCGGCCCCCACCCCCGTGCCAAACCCCATTTCCGGGAGCTCTTTCCGTTTGCACACCGCGAGTCCTCCCCACCCCCGGCCCCAGCGAGGCGCGCGCAGGTGGGCGCCCCATAGCCTCCCCCAGTCCCGCCGAGCCTCAGTTTCCTCTTCTGCCCAGGCTCAGCCCCGGGGTCGGGGGGGGGGCAGGGCGCGGGACCGACCCGGGGCGGGGCGGGCGGGCGGGCTCGGGGGACACTGAGTCACGGCACGGGTCCCAGTCATCAGACCGTCCCCCCCCCGCCCCCGTACCCCGGACGGACACGCGGACCCCGGCCGACCCCCAGGGCGGCCCCGCCCCGCCCCGGGCCTCACCTGTGTCCCGGATGCCGCGGCGGAGATGGAGATGAGGCTCGGGAGAGACCGGCCCGGATTCCGTGGACCCCTCGGGAAACTGAGTCACGGCGGGGCAGGCCCGACGGAGGCAGAGCGCGGGACCGGGCCCCCACCGA